TTTGTAAGGCCTCCTCAGACAACCATTTTGCCGGTTTTCATTTCTTTTTCTTGCATATGGTATTGATCACTGCTTCCTATACAATGTCACGAATCTCCACCCATAGTTCTTCAGGCGCTCTGTCTATCAGATTGAATCCCTTACATCTATTTGTCACTTCCACTATACAGTCGTTAAGGGATTTGATTTAGGTCCTGCCTGAATGGTCTAATGGTTTTCTCTACTTTCTTCAATTTAAGTCTGAATTTGGCAATAAGGAGTTCATGATCTGAGTCACAGTCGGCTCCCGGTCTTGTTTTTGCTGACTGTATAGAGCTTCTCCATCTTTGGCTGCAAATAAATAATCTATCTGATTTTGGTATTAACCATCTGGTGATATCCATGTGTAGAGTCTTCTCTTGTGTTGTTGGAAGAGGGTGTTTGCTATAACCAGTGCATTCTCTTGGCCAAACTCTGTTAGCCTTTGCCATGCTTCATTCTGTGCTCCAAGGCCAAATTTGCTGTTACTCCAGGTATTTCTTGACTTCCTCCTTTTGCATTCCAGTCCCCTATAATGAAAAGGACATGTTTTTTGGGTGTTAGTTCTAAAAGGTCTTGTAGGTCTTTATGGAACCATTGAACTTCAGCTTCTTCAGCATTACTGGTCGGGGCATAGCCTTGGATTACTGTGATACTGAGTGATTTGCCTTGGAAATGAACAGAGATCATTCTGTCATTTTTGAGATTGCATCCAAGTACTGCATTTCAGACTCTTTTGTTGACCATTATGGCTACTCCATTTATTCTAAGGAATTCCTGCCCACAGTAGTGGATATCATAGTCATCTGAGTTAAATTCACCCATTCCAGTCCATTTTAGTTCGCGGATTCCTAAAATGTAGACATTCACTCTTGCCATCTCATGTTTGACCACTTCCAATTTGCTTTGTTTCATGGACCTAACATTCCAGGTTCCTATGCAATACTGCACTTTACAGCACTGGACTTTACTTCCATCACCAGTCACATCCACAACTGGGCATTGCTTTTGCTTTGACTCCATCTCTAAATTCTTTCTGGATTTAATTCTCCACTGATTTCCAGTAGCATATTGGCACCTACTGACCTGGGGAGTTAATCTTTCTGTGTCCTATCTTGCCTATTTTGCCTTTTCATACTGTTCGTGGGGTTCTCAAGGCAAGAATACTGAAGTGGTTTGCCATTCCCTTCTCCAGTGGACCACATTTTGTCAGGCTAGGGATCAAATCAATGTCCCCTGCACTGGCCCGAACCACTGGACCACCAAGGGAGTCCTGAACAATTGATTTTTGACAAAGGCAATTCAGTGGAGAAAGAAGAATCTTTTCACAAAACTTTTTGAAACCACTGAACAACCATATGTAAAAGGAAAACAAAATACCTCCCACTTCAAAAAATATGAACTCAAAACTGATGACTGGTTCTAAATGTAAAAAGTAAAACTATATAATTCTTAGAGGAAAACAGGACAATATTGTTTTGCTTGCATGCTAAGTCTCTTCAGTTGTGTCTGCCTCTTTGGATCCCTATGGACTGTAGACTGCAGGCTTCTCTGTCCATGGAATTCTCCAGGCAAGAACATTGGAGTGGATTGCCATGCCTTCCTCCAGGGGATCTTTCTGACCCAGGGATCGAACCTGAGTCCCTTACATCTGATCTGGCAGGTGGGTTCTTTACCACCAGCTCCATCTGGGATTGTAGTTAGGGAAAGAGTTCTTAGACATGACACCAAAAGCATGATCCAAAAAAGATAAAACTGGAAAACTTTCACTTTGCAAATGACCCTTAAAAGAATATAAAGACAAACTATACACTAGGAGAAAATATTTACAAACCAAGTTTCTGACAAAAGGTCATGAATTCTTGAAACTCAATAATAAGTAATCAAACAACCCAGTTAAAAATATGCAAAAGACTGTTCATGAACAGACCATTCACCAAACAGAATATATGGATGGCAAATAAGCCAAGGAAAAAAAATGTTCATCATTAGTTATTTGAGAAAGGCAAATTAAAATTATGATGAACTACCACTACACAGCTGTCAAAATGACTAATACTAACAATAACAATATCAACAATAACAAATACTTTTAAGGAACACAACAGCCACCCTTGAAAATGGTTTGGCAGAGTCTCCTAAAGTTTAAGTTTGCAATCTATAGATTCAATGCAATCTGTATCAAGCTACCAAGGGTATTTTTCAAGAGACTAGAACAAATAATTTCACAATTTGTATGGGAATACAGAAAACCTCAAATAGCCAAAGCAATCTTGAGAAAGAAGAATGGAACTGGAAGAAATCAACCTGCCTGGCTTCAGGCTATACTACAAAGGTACAGTCATCAAGACAGTACGGTACTGGCACAAAGACAGAAATATAGATCAATGGAACAAAATAGAAAGTCCAGAGATAACTCCACACACCTATGGACACCTTATCTTCCACAAAGGAGGCAAGAATATACAATGGAGAAAAGACAATCTCTTTAACAAGTGGTTCTGGGAAAATTGGTCAACCACTGTAAAAGAAGGAAACTAGAACACTTTCTAACACCATACACAAAAATAAACTCAAAATGGATTAAAGATCTAAATGTAAGACCAGAAACTATAAAACTCCTAGAGGAAATCATAGGCAAAACACTCTCCAACATAAATCACAACAGGATCCTCTATGACCCACCTCCAAGAGTAATGGAAATAAAAGCAAAAATAAACAAATGGGACCTAATTAAACTTAAAAGCTTTTGCACAACAAAGGAAACTATAAGCAAGGTGAAAAGACAGCCCTCAGATTGGGAGAAAATAATAGCAAAGGAAGCAACTGACAAAGAATTAATCTCAAAATATACAAGCAGTTCCTTCAACTCAATTCCAGAAAAATAAATGACCCAATCAAAAAATGGGCCAAAGAACTAAACAGACATTTCTCCAAAAAAGACATAAAGATGGCTAACAAACACATGAAAAGATGCTCAACATCACTCAGTATCAGAGAAATGCAAATCAAAACCACAATGTGGTGTCATCTCACACGGGTTAGAATGGCTGCTATCCTAAAATCTACAAACAATAAATGCTGGAGAGGGTGTGGAGAAAAGGCAACCCTCTTACACTGTGGGTGGGAATGCAAACTAGTATAGCCACTATGGAGAAGCGTGTGGAGATTCCTTAAAACTGGAAATAGAACTGCCATATGACCCAGCAATCCCACTGCTGGGCACATACACTGAGGAAACCAGAACTGAAAGGGACACGTGTACCCCAATGTTCACCACAGCACTGTTTATAATAGCCAAGACATGGAAACAACCTAGATGTCACATCAGCAGACGAATGGATGAGAAAGCTGTGGTACATATACACAATGGAATATTACTCAGCCATTAAAAAGAATACATTTGAATCAGTTCTAATGAGGTGGAGGAAACTGGAGGCTATCATACAGAGTGAAGTAAATCAGAAAGAAAAACACAAATATAGTATATTAACACATATATATGGAATTTAGAAAGATGGCAACGATGACCCTATATGCGAGACAGCAAAAGAGACACAGATGTATAGAACAGTCTTTTGGACTCTGTGGGAGAAGGCGAGGGTGGGATGATTTGAGAGAATAGAATTGAAACACATGTATTATCATATGTGAAACAGATCGCCAGTCCAGGTTCGATGCATGAGATAGGGTGCTCAGGGCTGGTACACTGGGATGACCCTGCAGGATGGGATGGGGAGGGAGGTGGTAGGGGGGTTCAGGATGGGGAACAGATGTACACCCATGACTGATTCATGTCAATGTATGGCAAAAACCACTAAAATACTGTAAAGTAATCAGCCTCCAATTAAAATAAATAAATTTAAAACAAAGAAAAAAAAATTAAGTTAAACAGACACTTACCATATGACCCAGAATTTCCATTGCTAGGTATTACAGTAGGGAAATGAAAACATGTTCATACAAAAACCTGTACAAAAATGTTTATAGAAGCTCTATTCGAACCACTGAAAATTGGAAACAACTCAAATATTCTCTAGGGGTGAAAGCATAAACAAAATGATATAGAGTGACACAATATATACTATGGCAATAAAAAGGAATGAATTATCCATAGATGCAACATTCAACAACTTAACAATCTCAAAGGCATTATTTTGAATGAAAAATGCCATTCTTAAAAGATTACATACTCTATGATTCCGTTGACATGCTATTCTCTAAAAGATATAAGTATGACAGAGAATAGACTGGTAGTTTCCAGGGATTAGGGATGAGTTTGGGTATAATTATGAAGGGACAGCATGAGAAATTTTGGGGAAGGTTCAACTGTTCTGATCCTGATTGTGATACTGGCTATAGAAATCTATACATGTTTTAAAAATCCATATAACCATACAAGTCAGTTTTACTGACTTTTAAATTTAAAATAAAACTGTAAAACCCGAAGCATAAGTATAAATGAAATTGTCAAAAATAAAACTAACTTATTTTCCTAACTTTTAGTTTCATTTCACAAGATAAAATCCCAGGTGAGCCCTTTTTTCACTATTAATAATGAAACAGTGTTGTTTCATACGGACATACTTAAGTAGTCTTTTTCAGCACTCATTTTCCTCCAATAAAGAAGACCTCCTTTATATTAAAATATACACTGAATAAAAAAAGAGAGGGATATATGCCAGAGTGATAACCATGGCAAGTTGTTTCTGGGTAATGAGAGTATAAGTGACATTTTCTAAATTCTGTAGAATGAATTCATATAACTTTAATAATCAGTAGAAAAAAGGTAAAAAAGAATCCTTTAAATCCAGGCCTAGTGATGTTTTCTAAAAGAAACTTTGGGGCTGTAGTCTATAATAAGGGAGAAGATAAGCACGGAGGAGCAGAGAAAGTAGGCAGCACAAGAATGATCAAATCTTCTGGTGGTACTTGTGAAGTAAGAAAACTGGCCATTCTTGGGAAGGTGAAGGCTAGCTTACCTGAGACTGTTTGAAAACATCCTTCCCAACCACATCCAGGTTTGAGGGGTCTTTGATGGAACTAACATACTCAGAAACAGCCTTGATTACCACATCACAGGGAGGAAGAACCAGCTGATGAGCTCTGACCTAGAAGAAGTAAGATAAGCAAAGCACATTGATGTCTAAGATGGATCATTAAGAAAAAGGGTGAGACAGGGGTGAGATACAGAATTCAAATTCAGTAAATCCACTGAGAGACAGTTATCATCTTTTCTTTAAATTAATTTCCCCCTAATTTTCAGTACAGAACACTTGGAATCAAGATTGAAAAGGATAAAGAAAGAAAAAAACATATCAGCTATAATCCCACAACAAAGATTACTGTTTTATGGCACTGCCATAATTAATCATGATAAATTGTCATGATACATTTTAGCTGTTTCCAAACTTCTGCTATTAAAGGTAATGTTGTAATGTGTGAATCATGTTTGAATCCTGATTTGAAGTAACCACAAAAAAGTTTTTGTAAGACAATCATGAAAATCTAAAAATGGATTAGATATTAAGATGATATCAAGAAATTATCATTAATTTTTTAAAAGTAATAATGGCATTGTGCCTAAATAAGAAAATGCTCATGTTTTACATATGCATATCAAAGAAAAGGCGAGTGAAATAACTTGAGGACTGGCATCTGTTTTAAAATATATGAGTAAGAGCAACAACAACAACAAAAACTCAAGCAAGTGTGGCCACATTTTAACAACTACTGGAACACGTATATTATCTAGGGTGAAACAGATCACCAGCCCAGGTTGGATGCATGAGACAAGTGCTCGGGCCTGGTGCACTGGGAAGACCCAGAGGGATCGGGTGGAGAGGGAGGTGGGAGGGGGGACCGGGATGGGGAATACATGTAAATCCATGGCTAATTCATTTCAATGTATGACAAAAACCACTGCAATGATGTAAAGTAATTAGCCTCCAACTAATAAAAATAAATGAAAAAAAAATAAAAAAAAAAACAAAAAAAAACCAACTACTGGTTATAGAAGATGTTACTGTGACAGTTAACTATATATTACTTTTTCTATTTTTGTGATGCTTGAAAATTTTAAATGGTATGGTGAAATGTAGGTATGACTTGCTGACTACCTTCCAATTATCTAATTACATGTTTTCTAGAATGATAATTGCTGAGTAAAAGGCTATCAACTTCTTAAAAGCTTTTCAGTTCAGTTCACTTCAGTAGCTCATGTCGTGTCCTTGCAAACGCATGTCGTGTTTTTGTGACCCCATAGACTGCAGCATGCCAGGCTTTCCTATCCATCACCAATTCCCGGAACTTGCTCAAACTCATGTGCATCAAGTCAGTGACACCATCCAACCATCTCATCCTCTGTTATCCCCTTCTCCTCAAGCCTTCAATCTTTTCCAGCATCAGTGTCTGTTCAAATGAGTCAGCTCTTCACATCAGGTGGCCAAAGTATTGGAGCTTCAGGTTCACTATCAATCCTTCCAATGAATATTCAGGATTGATTTCCTTTAGTTTGATCTCCTTGCTGTCCAAGGGACTCTCAAGAGTCTTCTCCAACACCACAGTTCAAAAGCATCAATTCTTTGGTGCTCAGCTTTCTTCACAGTCCAACTCTCACATCCATACATGACCACTGGAAAAACCATAGCCTTGACCAGACGGACCTTTGTTGGCAAAGTAATGTCTCTGCTTTTTAATATGCTATCTAGGTTGGTCACAACTTTCCTTCCAAGGAGTAAGTGTCTTAATTTCATGGCTGCAATTACCATCTGCAGTGACTTCAGAGCCCCCGAAAAAAGGTCTGACACTGTTTCCCCATCTATTTGCCATGAAGTGATGGGACCAGATGCCATGATCTTAGTTTTCTGAATGTTAAGTTTTAAGCCAACTTTTTCACTCTCTTTCACTTTCATCAAGAAGCTCTTTAGTTCCTGTTCACTTTCTGCCTTAAGGGTGGTGTCATCTGCATATTTGAGGTTATTGATATTTCTCCCAGCAATCTTGATTCCAGCTTGTGCTTCATCTAGCCTGGCATTTCTCATGAGGTACTCTGCATATAAGTTAAATAAGGAGGGTGACAATATACAATCTTGACGTATTCCTTTCCCAATTTGGAACCAGTCCATTGTTCCATGTCCAGTTCTAACTGTTGGTTTTTGACCTTCATACAGGTTTCTCAGGAGGCAGGGAAGATGGTCTGGTATCCCCATCTCTTGAAGAATTTCCCACAGTTTGTTGTGATCCACACAGTCAAAGGCTTTGGCATAATCAATGAAGCAGAAGTAGATGCTTTTTTGTAATTCTCTTGCTTTTTCTATGATCCAATGGATGTTGGCAATTTGATCTTTGGTTCCTCTCCCTTTCTAAATTCAGCTTGAACATATGGAAGTTCTCGGTTCATATACTGTTGAAGCCTGGCTTGGAGAATTTTGAGCATTACTTTGCTAGCATGTGAAATGAGTGCATTGTGCAATAGTTTGAACATTCTTTGGCATTGCCATTCTTTGGGATTGGAATGAAAACTGACCTTTTTCAGTTCTGTGGCCACTGCTGAGTTTTCCAAATTTGCTGGCATATTGAGAGCAGCACTTTAACAGCATCATCTTTTAGGACTTGAAACAGCTCAGCTGGAATTCCATCACCTCCACTAGCTCTGTTCATAGTGATGCTTCCTAAGGCCCACTTGACTTCACATTCCAGGATATCTGGATCTAGGTGAGTGATCACACCATCGTGGATATCTGAGTCATGAAGATCTTTTTTGTATAGTTCTTCTGTGTATTCTTGTCACCTCTTCTTAGTATCTTCTGCTTCTGTTACATCCATACCGTTTCTGTCATTTATTGTGCCCATCTTTGCATGAAACGTTTCCTTGGTATCTCTAATTTTCTTGAAGAGATCTCTAGTCTTTCCCATTCCAATGTTTTCCTCTATTTCTTTGCATTGATTGCACTGAGGAAGGCTTTCTTATCTCTCTTTGCTATTCTTTGGAATTCTGTGTTTAGATGGGTATTTCTTTCCTTTTGTCTTTTGCCTTTCACTTCTGTTCTTTTCTCAGCTATTTGTTAGGCCGCCTCAGACAACCATTTTGCCATTTTCCACTTCTAAAAACTTTTAATACAAATTACTTGGGTATAGGGTGTACCATTGATTCCTTCCTTTAATAAATATTTAATGCCTATTTTATGCCTGGCACTGTTCCAGGCATCAGGGATGCAGGAATCAAAAAGACAGACAAAACTCCCTGCCTTCATGGGAGCTTAATTTCTAGTACAGGTGTGTTAGGATGGCATAAGATTGGTGAAACAAACAGAATAATAAAATGTATAGTGTGCTAAATGTAGGTAAGGGCTATGGAGAAAGTGTTAGCAGAGAAGGAGTTAGAGAATACAACTGTCTGTGTGTGGCGGGTGTGGGAGGAGGAAATTTTAAAAGAGTGTCAGGAAAGGTCACAGTGCCAAAGAACATTTGAAAAACCTTTAAGAGTGAGGAAATGTCTGCGTGGGAGGAAAAGGCAGTCTCAGTACAGGGAATGGTAAATGTAAAGATTCTAAGAACAAAAGAAAAGGAGATGAGATCAGAGCTGTACGTGAGGGCCAGAAAGCATATTGCTTTTTAGGCCATGGTAAAGATTAGGTTAGTGATATGAAGAGCCATTAGAGAATTATAAAAAGAGAAGTGACATGACTTGAGTCAGTTTTTAAAGTGACTCTGGCTGTTGTACTGGGAATAGATTTGGGGCCAAGGGTAAGAGGTATTGGGACATGAAACAGTGAAAGCAGAAGACCAATAGTTAGTAAAGTGGTATAATAATCCAGGCAAGAATGATGGCTTGACCAAGGTAATAGCTGTGAAACTGGTGAGAAGTGGATATATTTTGAAGGAAGAACTGATGGTATTTCCTGACCAGAAGAGAGGTGGAGCATGAGTAAGAGAGAAGTCAAGGGTGACTCCAAGCCTTTCAAGCCAAGCAACTGGAAAGATGAAGCTGTTGTTAATGAAACTTAGGGAAGGCTGTGGAAGGAACAGGTTTAGGGGAAAGATCAGGAGTTTCCATTTGGATGTGTTTCTTTGACATGTTTAGTAGGCCATTAGATATCAGGAGCTAAAGTTCAAATGGGAGGTCAAAGGTGGAGACATGTATTTAGGAGTCATTAATGGACATATGGTATTTAAAGTCATGACACCAGATGAGATCAACCACCAAGGCAGTGTGTGTGGATAGAAGAGAGAAAGGACTGAAGACAGAACTCTGGGACACTCCAAAGTTACGTACATAAGACAAGGAAACAGCAAAGGAGACAGAAGCAGCAGCCAGTGAAGTAGGTAGGACACTACAAGAGAATAGGGTCTTTAAAGCCAAGTGAAGAACATGTTCTCAGAGAGTGAGCAAATGGGTCATATACTGCTGACTGGTCAAGCAAGATGAAAACTGAGAGCTAGCCATTAGATTTATTAACATCACAGTCACTGGTGACTTTGTTGAAAGCAATTTCAGCACAGCAAATTGAAGACAGAACAGAGAATGGGAACAGTAAACAGCTCAAACATAGGCAACTCTCTAGAAGAGTTTGCTAAAAGGGAAAAAGAAATACAGAGCAGTAGCTTGGAGGTGGGGGGAGTGAAATCAAGAGCAGGTTTTATTTTTTATGATGGATGCATGCCTATGCATCTGATGGGAAAAAGCCAATAAGAGAGGGAAAATGGTGTGGGAGAAAGAGGGGAGAACTTCTGAAGTGATGTCCTTAAGTTAGCAAGGAGGCATGGATTCAGCATAAGAGCAGAAGTGTTGGCCTAAGACAGGAACAGTGACAGGTCATCCAAGGCAGGCAGAGCAAGCAGGTGAGAAGTTGAAAGGGTGGGACCTGGTGAAAGTTTTGCTCCCATTGCTTCAATTTTCTGAGTGAAATAGGAAGTCAGGTCATGAGCTGAGAATGAGCAAGGAAGGAGAATTAGAGGCTTGAGGAGAGAAGGAAAGATGTGAAATAGACATCTAGGAGAGTGAAAGGATTAGGGAAATGTAATACCACCACCAACTTACACTACCACAAGAAGTATATGATAGCACCAGTCTCAACACAGCCTTGACAGGAGTGGGTAGACTAATCTTTCAATATTTTCTAAGCTGTTAGGTTAAAAAAAATCACATTGCTCACTTAATTTGCATCTCTGATCACTAGTGAGGTTTAACACCTAGTCACATTATTGGCCACTATAGTTCCTCTTTTGTGAATTGTCTGCTTCTTTCCTTTGCTCATTTTTTTATTTACTAGGGTATTAGTATTAAGATTTTTCTTCATAGGTTTGTATGAACCCTTAAGATAATAAGGGTGTGAGAGAATACAAAACATATATTGTTCTCTGACCGCAGTTCCTGGCATAGAGCACCTAAAATCTTTGTAATTTCCTAGGTGGTAAGAGCACTCCTGTGCTCAGGATCCTCCCAGACCTCATCCTATGTATCTCTTCATCTGGCTGTTCATCTGTGTCCTTTATCATACCCTTTAATAAACTGATACATGTAAGTATGTATTTCCCTGAGTTCTATGAGGTGTTTTAATGGGATGGGGAGGGAGGTGGGAGGGGGGTTAAGGATGGGGAACACATGTAAATCCATGGCTGATTCATGTCAATGTATGGCAAAAACCACTACAATATTGTAAAGTAATTAGCCTCCAACTAATAAAAATAAACGGAAAAAAAAAACAAATTAATTAAACCTGAGAAGGGAGTCATTGGAACCTCAAATCTATAGCTAGTTGGTCAGTAAGAAGCACAGGTGATAACCTGGGCTTGCAACTGCTATCTGAAAGTGTGTGGGGGGTTGGGGCGGTCCTTGGAATTGAGTCCTGAACCTGTGTAATCTGACACTATGTTCAGGTAGACAGTGTTAGAATTGAGTTAAATTGTAGGATACCCAGCTGGTATCACAGAAAATTGTTTGGTGTGGGGAAAACTCCCCACATATTTAGTGACTAGAAGTGTCAAAAGTGAAGTACTCTGTGTGACAGTGGTAGTAGTGTGAGAGAGAGGAACACATAGGGAAGAAAGACACAATGGGGTATAACTAGATTTTTCCCTATACATTAGGTAGAAAACTGAGTTTTTCCTTTTCAAGAGTATTGACCATAATTGTAAATTTTTTGTAAGTATCTGAAATAATTTAAACCTAATGAAAGATTTACTCTATCAAAATTCCAATCAAAACGTGATGTCCTCTAGGCATGGATGCACAGGCATGAAATGGGGCACATTACCTTAAGTGATGCAAGGGGATGTTCTGGTCCCAACAGGCTCCAGTGAAAAGCAGCCAGGTCCTCATCGGGGAGAATGTGGTTACCTATAAAGTATATCTGTCATTTATTGACTGTACAAATGTTTTCTTAGAATCTCCAGGCCATGAAGGGACTTTGGGGGAAAAAAACAATCAAATAATTCACACATATCTATGTTCTTAACAACTACAGTAACTATGTTTGATTATCTACTATGAATCACATACATTATATATATATCATCTTTATAATACCTGTGTATGGTAATATTATCTCCATTTTTATAGAGAGGAAAACAGGTTTGAGCAAGTCTCGTGACTTTACACAAGGTGCCACATCTAATAAGTGCCCACACCAGGCTAAGAATCTAGGACTGTCTGACTCCAAAGTTCATGCTATTTTCTGTCACCCAGTTATGCTGCCTTTTATAAAAGGCACCGACTGCTGACTGCCTACTAAGTGCTGGGCATTTTATATATCTTATTTCATTTAATCTTATCAATTACACTGTGAGGTATTATTATTTCATTTCACAGATGAGGAAACTGAAACCAGGAGGTGTAACTTCAGTGATTTGTCCAAGGCCTAATTCCAAAACTTGTGCTGACTCCACTAGATTATCCAAGCTCAAATCCTTCGGGATTATAAACAGAGGTCATACCTGAGACAAGATATTAACTTTCATGCTGTCAGTACTTGGAAAACCAACTGAAACTAATCAACAGTCTGCAGTTAACTTTGAAATACATTTTTTAAAGAAAAACTGATAGATGGATATAAAGACAGATATATGATGAAGCAAGTATAGTAAAATGTTATTGGCAGAATACAGGTGGTAGAAACAGGATTTTCAGAGCAAATTCTTGAAGTTTTGCTGTACTTTTGGGAATTTTCATAACAAAATGTAAGCACAAGAGAAGCAAAAAGAAAAATATGCAGAATGATTTGTGTTCTTGATCTAAAGTTAAAAAGTGGGGAAGAAATGCTAATGCTCTGAGTGGGAAACCAAAGTTGCCTAGGGCTAATGAGATATTTGGCCTAAGATGGTACCATGCATAAAATACTTATAGAATGTAATGAAAGAAAAAGTTTTACAAGAATCAAAATAATATTCTGGAATATCCTGTATTAATTCATAATAAAAGATGCTGAGTTTCTAGTAAGAAGCTCCAAAGCACAGCGCTTGACGTGCAAACTTTCAGAAGATAAATCCAACAGTGATAACCATTGCTCTGGTTTTCACCTCTTAACACTGAAAGAGAAACTTACATGATCATTAGAGTCTGTTCTTTGGACCACCTACCTAGCAGTGCAGCAAATATGGGAAAATTCATCCGCTTCAGGCCTAGCTGCTTGGCCACCTCCTGCATCAGAAACTGGTTGGTGGTGAGGTTCTTTCCATTCCAGCTCAGCTTCAGAGCATGGGAACTATAGTATGAGGGAATATTGTAGAGCGCATACTCGGAGTCATGGGCAAGAAGACCATGGAAGCCATTTTCCCTGAAAAAAGCCACTACTTCCAAATGGTGGTCTTCAAGGCTCTGAAAGACCTAGGAGGGAAAAAGAGAACATGTCATGCAACAAAAGCTGACCTATATTTGGTTAGAAGTCAGAAAGGCTAGAAACGGAATTTTATAGTTTGTTGAAATTTAAGATTATATAAGACTGAACAAAGCTTCCCTGGTAACTCAGCTGGTAAAGAATCTGCCTGCAATGCAAGAGACACTGATTTGATTCCTGGGTTGGGAAGTTCCCCTGGAGAAGGGATAGGCTACTCACTTCTGTATTCTTGGGCTTCCCCAATGGCTCAGATGGTAAAGAATCTACCTGCAATGTGGGAGACCTGGGTTGGATCCCTGGGTTGGGGAGATCCCCTAGAGCAGGGCATGGCAACCCACTCCAGTATTCTTGCCTGGAGAATCCCCATGGACAGAGGAGCCTGGCGGGCTACAGTCCATGGTGTCACAAAGAGTCAGACACAACTAAGCACAGCACAACACAAGGCTGAACAAAATACTCTTAAAAAAAAAGAAAGTCTCTCCTAGCCTAAACTGGATTATTCCTGTAAACACAGGCAGCATTATCCATTTGTTCATTCAAATGACCAATTTTTTGACTCCCTGCATGGAACTATGGCCTGAAGCTCTTTAAAAGAATATTGAAATTAACATGGTTCATAGTATTTAAGTTTTTACTTTAAATAATAATAGATGAGAACTTTGTTAGAAAGATAATAAAGCTATTATATATTGCTTAGTACCTTCTATATACTGTGTGTGCTTTACATACATTATCTCATCAACAGAACAACCAAGGACAAGGCAGATATAGATGAAAAAACATAAGTGGAAATAGACATAGAAAGGTTAAATAACATATAGCTAGAGCCTGAATCTAAGTTAATCTAACTCTTTTAAAAAAATCCCTGCTTTCCTTCTTAGGAGCACCTTGGACCACAGGGCACCTAAACAGGGCGCTTCCAACAGTTAGAAGTCAGAAACTTCACTCTATTTTAGAAATGGAAAAACTAAGGCTGCGAGAGGTTGGTTGCCCCCAAAGCTGCATAATGAGGGTGTATACACAGGATTCAAACCCAAGCTGATCTGACTCCAGAATGCACACTTCTCATTGTACCAGGCTTCTTCCTGAAGAGCACTATTTTTACTGCAATAGAGGCAGACTGTTAAGTGCCCTTCTTGTGCACACATCTATTGCTCTACATAAAGGATACTAAAATGATCTGCATACTGGTTCTGCTACACTAAGTTCCTTGATTGCAGAAACTTTATAATCTCTGTATTCCTAGCTCCCACATAAGATCTGATGCATTGCAGTTTGAATAATAGTTACTAACAGATACTGAACATATACTGTGTACTAAGTAATATTCCAATTACTTTACATGTATTAATTCATTTCATACTCAAAACAATCCAACGAGGCCATAACTATTATTATTATCTCCATTTTACATCTCTAAGGTCACAGAGCTGGAAGGAATAAAGTCTGGAGTTTGTCTCCAGAGCCTACAGACCTTGATAATTTTGTTGAACTCAACTGACTTAATTTTTCATTTAAGTTTTAGAGGAATGGTAGTTCTTCTGGAGTCTGACAGGAGTTTCAATGCATTAAGCTTTCTCTAAGCTATGGAAAGAGACTCTAGTTGCAGTAGAGAGCCACTTCACATATTAAGTTACAGCAGAGGGACACTGGTAAGCAAATAACAAAGCAAGGTCTGTATTTATTTGATATTCAGGCAAAGGAAGCAAAAAACCTTACTTTGAGCTGCAACATATTTATGTCTAGAGTTACAATTAACTCCAGATGGGTCTGGGTAGGAGTACAGTTTTAGGCTGTCCCCTGGTGATAGTTTCTTCCAGCATATACCTCTCATACCAGTCACTGACTGAGCATCCATCAACATTGTACCAGGCATAGTGCTGACTGTGATATGTTCTTTCTCATCATCACAACCTGACTATGTCAGCATTATAAGTCCTGTGGTTCTGGTAAGAAAACTGAGGCTTAGAGAAGTGATGTGGCATGTTCAGGGCTACAGAGCTGGGAAACAGGAACCCAGATCAAACTGACACCAAAGTCCATGCTCTTTCTACAACAACATATTACCTTTAGCTGGTCTGCAGTTGATTATGCCACCATCCAAGTGATTTCAACTCTAGAAAGTCAAGGACTAGTGATCTTTAACAAATCTGATGGCTCTCATAAGGAATATAAATCACAATCACCTGAATAGCATTTTCTAGAAAGTCAAGGACTAGTGATCTTTAACAAATCTGATGGCTCTCATAAGGAATATAAATCACAATCACCTGGAAAGCATTTTCAAAATATACAAACCTGTGCCTCACCTCAGATCTGCTGAAACAATCTCCTGAGTGTGACTGGAATGCTTATATTTCAAAACTAGCTTCCAGTAGGTTCTGATGCACACTCCTAAGAACCATTGAGATAATCTAATTACTCATTTTAAAAAAATGTTTTATTGAGGTATAACTGACATACTGAATTATTACATATTTAAAGTGAAAGCAAAAGTCACTCAGTCATATTTGACTCTTTGTGACCCCATGGACTATACAGTCCATGGAATTCTCCAGGCCCGAATACTGGAGTGGGTAGCCTTTCCCTTCTCCAGGGGATCTTCCTAACCCAGGGATCGAACCCAGGTCTCCAGCATTACTGGTGGATTCTTTACCAGCTGAGCCACAAGGGAAGCCCAAGAATACTGGAGTGGGTAGCCTATCCTTTCTCCACTGGATCTTCCCAATCCAGGAGTCGAACAGGGGTCTCCTGCATTGCAGGCGGATTCTTTACCAACTGAACTATATTTAAAGTGCACATCAAAGCGATATGATATACGTATGCCCAATTACTCATTTTGCTGCTTAAGCAACTAGCCCCCTAGAAAGGAGAGATGACTTGACATGGTTACCTAGTTAATCTGTAGCAGAACCAAGATTAGAACAAAAGTCTCATGATGCCAGGTATAAAACTTCCTTCACTGCATATTCTGGGGGTAAATAATGGAAAACAAGAGAATAACAATAATATCATAATTCCCCAGCACCCTACTCCTGCCAGGCTAGTTTCCTAGCTACCCTTCTCCAAGATTACTGTTTCCTTTTCTTTGCTCCCTTGGTTTCCCTGCCTAGAATACCACACTGCTTCTCTTTTCCAACGTTCCAAATACTTTCCATAGGCCCCCTCTTACATGATTTCTTTCCTCTTAACTCTTACAACACTGAGACAGTTGACACCATCAAGGAAGTAACTCAACAATATCCTCACCTGCCAAGTTGTAAAACCACAGATTCCTTCTTATTCCTGTGTGTATCCTCCACAGTCCGAACCAACACGTAGAAAGGACATAGAGCTGGGTTGACAGAATAGCAAAGAAAGGCCTAAACAGGTTGTAAAAGGGAAAGCAGCCCTGGCAAATAATAGGGCACCATCATCTGAGTATTTGACTTCAACAACTGACGTACCAATGTCACTGGGAAAAGTCTGCCTGGATTGCAGGTTATTTAGACATGAAGTAGCAAAGTAATATTAGGTATCAACTGAGTACCTACTATGTACCAGGCACTGTTCCAAGTACACCTCATGTCTATTAACCTTCCAATAACATCATGATGCATTATTATCTCCCTTTTACAGATGACAGAATAACAAGGCTCAAAGGTTGAAGAACTTGACCAAAGTCACACAGCTGAAAAATGAAGCTAGTCAATAAACACATGAAAAAATGTTCAACATCATTAGCTATTAGAGAAATACCAATCAAAAATCCACAGTGAGAAACCAATTAAGATGTACTAACATGGCTATAATTTTTAAAATGTAAAATAACAAGAGTGTGGAGAAATTGGAATCCTCCATACATTGTTGGTGGAAGAGTAAAATGGTGCAGTCACTTTGGAAAACAGTCTGGGAGTTCCTCAAATGGCTACCATGGGGTTATTACATGATCCAATACTTCCACTCATAGGTATATATATACACAAGAGAATTAAAAACATACATTCACACAAAAACTTGTACATGAGTGTTTGTAGCAGAATTATTCACAACAGTCAAAAAAGGAAACAACCAAAAGAAGTGAAACTCTCGCTGTTTGCAGATGACATGATCCTCTACATAGAAAACCCTAAAGACTCTACCAGAAAATTACTACAGCTAATCAACGAATATAGTAAAGTTGCAGGATATAAAATCAACACACAGAAATCCCTTGCATTCCTATACACTAACAGTGAGAAAACAGAAAGAGAAACTAAGGAAACAATACCATTCACCATTGTTAACAAAAAGAATAAAATATTTAGGAGTATATCTACCTAAAGAAACGAAAGACCTATACATAGAAAACTATAAAACACTGATGAAAGAAATCAAAGAAGACACAAACAGATGGAGAAATATATCGTGTTCATGGATTGGAAGAATCAATATTGTCAAAATGGCTATACTACCCAAAGCAATCTATAGATTCAATGCAATCCCCATCAAGCTACCAACGGTATTTTTCACAGAACTAGAACAAATAATTTCACAATTTGTATGGAAATACAAAAAATCTCGAATAGCCAAAGCAATCTTGAGAAAGAAGAATGGAACTGGAGGAATCAACCTGCCTGACTTCAGACTATACTACAAAGCCACAGTCATCAAGACAGTATGGTACTGGCACAAAGACAGAAATATAGATCAATGGAACAGAATAGAAAGCCCAGAGAGAAATCCACGCACCTATGGACACCTTATCTTTGACAAAGGAGGCAAGGATATACAATGGAAAAAAGACAACCTCTTCAACAAGTGGTGCTGGGAAAACTGGTCAACCACTTATAAAAGAATGAAACTAGAACACCTTCTAACACCATACACAAAAATAAACTAAAAATGGATTAAAGATCTAAATGTAAGACCAGAAACGATAAAACTCCTAAAGGAGAACATAGGCAAAACACTCTCTGACATAAATCACAGCAGGATCCTCTATGACCCACCTCCCAGAATATTGGAAATA